TCAATCTGTGCCGAGACGAAGAGCATTGTTGCCACCGAGACTAATTATTACCACGCGCGATCGACAGCTTACTTATAAGTCGTTCCGCATTAACGTTAATACTAACTTGTCAGATTTAATCCGCCCATTTGCCTGGGCGTAATATGAGATTATACGCTAGACATTGAGTTCGCAGTTTTTCTCACAATACTTTATCCGCAGGAATTACGTGCGTAATGAATTCGACACATTAATTAAGTTAGTAGTTTGGCGGGGAATATAGCACGTTGCATTTTTCTCGCTTTGCAATCAATCACGAACAATTACTAATCTGAAATCTACTGATCTATGTGCAGATAGAAAATTTACCTAAGTTAATGTATCTTTTTCCTTGTATTCAAGTCAACAATTACTGAGTGAACACAACAGATACAATATATATGTTAATATAATTATTAATATTTTACTTTGCTACGAATAACAAAATAAAAAAGGTCATCCAAAAGTCAAGCACGAAAATTAATGGATAGAAATAATACAGGGATCTATAATACAATCGGAGTTGGAGAGTAATTTCTTGTACGAAAATAAATCGAAAGTGTAGAATAAGCATTTTTTTATTCGAAGCTTTGTTTTCGACAAAATTAAATTTGATTGAGAATAATTAATATATAAAATTTAAAACAAAAATTACTTCTGAAGAAGTGAAAGATCGGAAGACATTAGTTAGAATCCATGAATGTGTAATTTGAGCACAACTTTGCTTGTGGCAGCAGGACCAACATTTTTAGCAATTTTTTTCTTAATAAAATGAGTAAAATTTAATTATTTATCACATTTTCTTTAATCTTGCCACTCGTAAAGTCATATGGACGTTACGTAAACACTATACATTTATACAGTTTCTTTTCACAAAGCGTATCTTCATTAAGTGCACGCATATTCTCTCAACATGATATTTAAACTTAATTTTTTATCGAAAATAAAGCCTCAAACGAAAAAAATTCTATACTTTCGACTTATTTTTGTACAAGAAATCAACCCGCTCCCCTCTCCCCCTTTATCTGGTTGTATTATAAGTTTATTCCCTAACCTGTATATTAAATATAGAGAGTTTACGAAAACGAAATTACATGTTTCGGCTCAATTTTGAGAGTCGTTCTTGGATCGCAGAAACAGCAAAAGACCGTTACAAAGAAAAGCAAGATGTTTTTTTGTAACCCGGTCTTTTGCTGTTTCTGCGATCTGAGGATGGTTTAAAATTTAACCGAAACATGTAATTTCGTTTTTGTAAACTCTCTACATTTAATATCATTTCTGTCCTTTAATTTCCCTTCTTGACTCTTATATGTCCTTTTTACATCCAATATATATATATTTTTTTATCAAGAATTTATCAAGAATTCTTATTATTTTTATTTAATTCACTGTGCAATTCAATGTTATGAATTTATCAATAATAGCTTAACAAGATGAGCTATAATAATCAAACAGAATAAAAAGATATCTCATCTGAGTATTGTGCACTTTTTCTCGATATATATATGTTTTGATGAACATTTAGAAATTCATTAAATTATTCTTACAATTAGTCTATTAGAGATGATTAAAATATTTGAATAATCAAAACAAAACAAAATTCTTTATAATTCTATTGATAACTTGTGCGAATAAAATCGTGTTATCTACTCACATGAATTTAGTAGTCTTAATTGACAATTTTTTTTATATTTAAAATTTTTCGATGTCTTATTGTTCAAAATCTATCATTCGATCAGAGATTTCTGTATTCCGGAGAAAGTGACTTCTGAGACATTTTATGTTAATATTATCTGAAACTTTCGCAAATTACAGATTTTGTCAAAATATAACGTATCGAGCAAGGAAATAATAGGCTTCCAACACGGAATCGCTACATATTTGTTCGCTTATCTCATTTCACCGACATATAGCATCGGCACGCCATGTTTTATATTCAAATACAGATATTATGTTGCTCGGCCTCGATCGTTGCTCGTCCGTAATGCGGCTGCGTCTTATGATCTGTGACCGCATTTTTCTCTGGATTAACGAACGTTCAACCTAAATCGTCGTGCGACATGATGGAGAAGCAGATTACCACAAAAAAAAATCACTTTCGAAAATTGTTGATCCTCCGGCGGCGATCGCCGGAAGTAGACCGGAAATTGACCGTCCTGCCGATATAAGGCCATTCGATTTCACACGCGAATCTTCGCCGTATGAACGTGGAATTTACCGAAAGTTTCTCGCAAATATATTTATTATATATCGTCAAAAATACATAAAATATTAAAAGTGATTAAGATATACCTATTAATATTAATGTAATATACATAACACGTTTGACACAGACTTCTCTTTAAAGTTTTTAGAATAAATTCATTCTAAAGAGTGAAATCTTATCCTTAAAGATTAAAAATTAAGCTACTTTTTTTCGAGACTCGCTCAATTTTCACTCTTTAGAGTGAGAGATTCCATTCCAAAGAATTTTTTATTTAAAAATCAAATATCTGCATTTTAACAGTTTTTGCATTTTCTAAAAAATTAATAGTTCTCTAATAATGTATTTTTTATTAAATATACTTGTGTTTTTTTAATTATCTCTAGTTTAACAGTATTATTTTATATTTTTAATATTTTGAAAATAGCACTTCATGCAAACATAAGAATAAATGTGACGTTTCTCAAAAGAACGTAAACACATATCCGGATGACAGATGTCAGATAATTCTAAAGTCCACGACAAAGTTATGGCGTTTCTTTCGTATATCCTCTTTCGCGAAGGAATTCACTCGACCGAAGAGAGGCAGTCCGAGAACAGGCCCTCCCTCGAAGGACAGCTCGATGCGAACCGAGTGTTTATCCATATTACCTTGTATCACTCACGTTTCCCTCTTTTCTTCGACTCGGCAGGATGTCCCATTCATGAGAGTCTTGAAAGGTGGTAATCGTAATGACCGACTGACGTCTCGCGTGAATGTAACCGTCGCGGTCGTTACGGCACGTTCGAAAGCACGATCGAATCGTCTGCAGTTAACATCTCCATTGTTAACAAAAGGAGAAAAATAACGCGGCAGGACAGGTCTCCTCCCCTCCCCCCTCCCCCTCCCTCACATGATCACTTCGGGAATAATTTGCAATTGTACGCGGAGAAAACATCACGAGAGTTGCAGGCTGTAATTTGTACATACAACGAAAATACTTTTTTGAATATTTTTTTTCAGAGTGTGATGACATATTTTATGCTCCGTTGGAGAACGTGTTCTTCATTTATTCTCTTTTTGATATAGAAAAATAAATAAGTAAGAGGAGATGCGGATCGTGTGCTTAGACACATCTTCCTTCAGTCTTTACCTCTAAGAAGCGAAGGAAAACTATTCCCAGTACCTATCTATGTGAATTTATTCGACTTGCCATAAGCCTGATGAAAAAGTAAAAAATAATACAAGCATTTTTTTGCACATACGATATTATGGCCGAATTGTCTAATCAAATAAATTTGTTCATCTAAAATTAATTCATACAGAAACTTTTTATTCTGTCTTGTTCTGTTTTCTTTTAGAAAATTAATAAGGATTTAAAAGAGATCATATTATATTTTCATTAGATTCGTGAAGACTTTTATTACCGAATGATATTTAATAAATTTGAATTGTTAAAAATTTCCGGTGTACAACGTAAATATGTATCGATTATTTTAATCGATGATTTTATCATAGAAATTTTTCAATTACCTGATCCTTTATCATTTATACTCTTTATTATACTTAATCCTAATTATATTATTAAAAAACATATTGTGCGTCCTATTATTACTTTGATTTATTTAAGTATATAACCGACCGAAATCAATGTTTATAAATATGCATCACGTGATTACAAAACATAAGGACAGTTCAGAGATACATTTCCAAGAGAAAAGATTAGTGATTTCATTATTTCGCAGAATTACTAGAGCACATTTGATTTAGGACACGAATAATAAACAACCTTTATGTCGACTTTTGCATAAAATTTTAAATGATAATCTTCCAAAAAATGAAATAAAATCTAATGGCGGATATCGTCATTTAGTTTCCATGAGCGAAAGCTTGAGGAGGCTGTTTGATAAATACACTCGAACTATAAATTACTGTTAGTCTCGTGTATGTTAACTTTAAATGTGGGTTAGGAAAAGGTGCATTTTTTCAAGCAAACCCTCTGCATATTTTCACGCGGGAACAACTTTCCTAAATCGCCGCGGGAGTTTCTCGAGTTATAGAGATTTGCATATGCGCTTATTTACATATGCGCTCAAATCCAACATGAACACACGTCCTATATAGTCTACTAAAATCTTCTCTTTTGCATTCGTAAACGAGAGGAATTTATACATATGACTCACGAAAGAGTCGATTTCAAACGACATTAATAATTTTATTTACACAGTGGCGCTGAAAATCAAAATAACGAGGTGTTTATCGTTTCGTTAAATTTTCATTAAATTGAGAATTAAACAAGAAAGAAAATTATTTTACAGATAATAATACCGCATATTATGTATACAAATTTCTTTTGTCGGAGTAATAGCCTAAAATCGCATATTGATAGTCTTAATCGCAAGTGAAATTTTTAATAAATTATCCATACTTAGGCAGATTTTAATTTAAATACATAATATAAAATTAAATATTAATGTATTAGTAAATAATATTTTAAAGCAAAGTTTATTATCTTATGTTAATTAATTATTAATGAAATGACATTGTTAATTACTTTAAAATTATTTATATATTTATGAAGAATAGTACATGATATTGAAATGATTACGTTTTAATGTATCATGTGTAAAGAATAATTTCATAAAATTTTGTAATAAATGTATAAAAAATATGTATGTCATAAAATATATTTGAGACAACTACATATCTTGTTTGTCTTTCTTAAGTGACGTTTCTATACAATGTTCTTTTCGAAACTCATCATGATGTTCTACTATCATTATTGTTTCTTTGTTGTAGGTTGGTGATGGTGGCATTATAATGCTCGATGCTACTTTAGATGCCTCTACGACTGACGATGCTGAGTGGGAAATCTCTGGGGGTCCACCGTCACCCTGCGACGTATCGTTTTTCAACGACAATATTCTCATCAATGGACGCAGCAACCTTTCGAGGACGCCACGAAATCATAAGGTGAGTGAATGCCTGCGCCTTGATTATCTAGTTTTTCCGGCGACGCTTTGTTCGAAATAGGTTTCAAAGCAAGAAAAAGTTGCATCATAATTTAAGTTAATATTTAACCATGTTACTAACATAATTATATTTTTTATTTTTAATCGTATTAATTTGTATAGCAAATAATTCTAATAATTAACATGTCTCTTAAAAAGAATATCATTTAAGAAAAAAAAACCATAACACAGTTTAATGAAAATAAAGATATATATAAAGATATATATATATATATATATATACAACATTCTACAATAAGTTCATCTCATGAAATTTAATAATACGGACATACACATCTTTAAAAAACATCGGAAATGAAAGTTCGAGTAAATTATGAGAATGTTCAATCTTGACATATTTATCATATATATGCAAATAGTAATTCAGTGACGATCCGGTTTGAAATTTTTTACGTTACGTTTGAAGAAGTTAAGAGTAAGACATCAATAGAAATTAGCAGAATATCAAATAAGAAATCATGTCATCACCATAAATAACTTCGAAGTCATTTTAAAAACCCGGTTATCTATTTAAATCGTCGTATCGATACAAAAAGTCTTATCAGGATCTTTTAGTTTGATTACCGATTAGGCACGGCGTTATCTAATCTAATCAACTGCACCGCCATTATTCACAGGATCGTGACCCGGCTACCCTACTAAATCAAAAAGCGCATAGCGTAATATTACTTTCAAGATCGCTCGCGTGGCGTGAGAAAATCTGTCTCGTGAACCATTCGTGAGATCGGACGCACAATGTGCCTGCGTATAACTCCCACGTGGTCCGAGGAAATTTTTTTCCCCTCAATGGGAGGAAAGAGAGAGGCTCTAATCCATGCCATCATGTAATATATTTTTGGCGTGATGACAAACGTCGGTTTCACGCCTCTCGGCGCCAGAAACACTGAGTTTGTTCCGCTTACATGCGGCCTACTGACGGAAACGTTCTTCGTCCGCGGATCATAAGAGAAAAGATCGTGTATCTTGTGGAAAAATTTTTGGTGTCATTTTACATATGTTGTTAAAATTAACGAGACTTCTGATTATTCAAAATAAACAATCGAAAAGGGAAAGAGTTAATTAGAAGTCTCAGAACGGTAATATATTTGTGTAATATTTACATGGATCTACGATATGTATCTTTATTTACATATTATATATATAGAAATATTAAAAAATATATTTTTTTTATTTTTTTTTTTATTTTTTTTATTTAAAGATCATTTTCTTATATGTAAAAATGAAAGTTAGTCACATGCTTTGTATAGTTCTATTAACATGAAAAAGTCTCGACACCGTTTTTACATGCCTGGAATTCCCAGGATTGTCTTGTTTTAGAAATATCATTCAATCTTAGTATGTGCCTACATACATTTAATTAGACATGCACGTTCTTTGCGTAATTTGATATCTATTAGTTCTGGTTATCATCTAACGGAGTTTATATTTTATTTGAAATGTAATAAGACATGAATTTTTTGCTCGATATTTTTTTTTCTTAGGCAAAAAAAGTCTGGATATCTATATCTTAAGATTATGTGCGGCGTATAATTTATTATATCAACGCTAAAATATCAAACATATACGTCATCGTGTCGAACTATGTCGTGATAGGAAATTAAGATCTTTTCGCGCAGCGTAATTTCGATATAATCTATTACCGATCGACGGCAGCCAGATAAGCGAACAAAGTGTCGTTTATAAAAGATGTAAGATACCTACGTAATGTACGAGAAATGGTTGAACTGCAATAATGCACGATGCATACATGTAATATAGACCCTTGTACCGATAACATATCGCTGGATTTAGCATCATGTTCCGCAGAACTCAAATGTATAAATATTGATATTGATAGCGAGAGTGCAACGATATGTATATTTCAGCTACCATATATCATCTCGGACAAGGTAATATACACGATACGATTTTAAGCGGAAATATTAGCGTGAAACAGCGAATTCGTAAAACAACTCACAGAACTAAAACAGGTTTGAATGTCAATGTCAATTAGCTAGCTAACAAATTAACTAGTGGAAAGAAAATAAATATTGGTGTATACGTATAATTAAATTGTAACGAGATATCTTAATTATTAACAATCTTTTCTAAAGAAAATAAAATTATATTCAAATGTCCACAATGATAATTAATATTTATATTATGTCGTAATATTTTATTAATTTTTTTGATACCGCTTTTTTCGCTGGCATATAAAATTGCGATTATAGTATATTTTTTCCAAGAGATGCGATTATATATCTTTCATATATTTTTTATTTGAAATATTAATCTATTAATATTTATAATAACATAATATTAAATCTATTATTTTATTTTCAACATCTTTTCTTGTTTTAGTTTTAAGATAATACATTTCTCACACATTCAGGATTGCTTATAACAATTGGCAATTGTTGTATCTTAATCTACATAATCTAAGACAATTGTCTACTATTCTATTATTTTAGCATTAATTCGAATATCATAATGTAACTTTTGTAACATACATTAAGAACTTTAATTATGTCTTCAATGAATACATTTGTGGGAATCTAATCTAAATCTCTAATAATCGTCCTTAATTAGGTCTAGCAATTCTTGCGGAATTTTCAATAAGTTTGTATTAAATCAAACGATGCAATCATTTTCATCTAAAACCATTAGACCATTTTAACTTCATTCGCCGCTTTCTCACGCGATCGCGCGTTGACGTGACGCGATGGGAGGCATTTTGTTACCAACACCGATAAAATACCAATTTGTAAGTAAAAGTATCGTGTCCGCGGGCCCCAGCAATGATTTTCGAGCGCCTCGTCGACCAAGTTAATCTACCGTGCATCATCATGGGAAAAACGTCGGCGAACAATTCCGCCGGATACAACTCCTTGATACAGCAAATGCAAAAAAATAAGTCATAAAAAACCCATCACAAGAATAAGTATCTCGAAACAATTATATTCAGAAGAATTAATATCCAGAAGAATTATCCACACTTAGCTGATGTAATCAGTAATATTTCCTGCAAAATAATCTTTCTTTTAAGAGCCTTTCTTTGACCATGTTTTTGTTTAATCAATTTATAATTGAGATTTCCTTAATAAACGTCCGATTGCACGGTTTTCTCATAAATCTTTTATTTTTTACATTAAATATCAAATGACAATCTAAATTACAGGTCTTAAGCCTGAAATTATTCGTACATAGAATAGGATTTCGCTATTCTTCTAAAATTTAACTCTCTTCAATTTCACGTTTTTAATCTATTGTACATTAAATGCTGATGTCATAACATTCCTATTTAAGGAGAAATCTACAACATTGACCTAGGAATTCATACATAAAGGCAACATATCGACAGCTCTGGAGCACTCTGTTTTATATTGCCTATTGTGCTTTCTTATACGATCTCGCTATTCGTCTCGGGAGAGTTGATATTTCCTGGATCGCACGACGGACGCTGCGTCATGTTCTTTCTGAATTTATTTCAGTGTTCGTACACCGTGTCGGATTGATGGAAACGCTGGCATAACCGATCGCGCGTTATGCGCGACGCGGAATTCCTTTCCGTGAGTTATCGGTGAAATGAGTCCCAGATAGAAAATCCACGGGCATTGCTCCTGGATCAACGATCCAGGCAAGAATTTAGTCACGCATTCGTCGTGCATCAAGTAAGATGAAAAATTTGAGTTATGCGGAAAAGATCGAGATTAAGAAGGGGAATTGCATTTGACTTCAAATAATAATTAAAATTTCTACTTTAAAAAATCTTTATATTAGCATTTAATTAACATTTGACCTATCGAAGAAATTTCAAATAACATCGTGAAATTGATATTGCTTCTTTTATTCTTGAATATTGTTAGAAACGTTTATAAAATATTTGTGATTAATTTTTTTTAATAAACGGATTGAATATGACGTAAAGTAAATATATTGCAATTAGAATATTTGACAGATGAAATCATCTATTGTTGTTGATTTATGAATTTTAAGAATAACGTTTCGAAAATTCCCTAAAAAATATAAATAATTAAATACTTCTAAAATAAGATAAACATTTTGATTAAAGATGTAGACATTTAAGATACAATTGAAATGTAGTTTCAACACATTTTTCTTAAAAGCATGTCTAAAAACTTACTTGAACATTTGCTATCGTCTCCGCATATCTTGCGCTCTCGCAGCAGGAAACTCGTTTCTCTTACTTTTACATTACGTCTTAATTTTATTGTATTTTAGTTGCGATATGATTTAATAACGTTGATGTTTTCGAGATTAGCGCTTATTTTGCATTTCCAAGTCTAACACAGAAATTCGTAACAGTATTGAAGAATATATTCGATAAATAGCTAGTATTTTATATGTAGATATTTCCACAATCTTGAGTTCACAAAGTGATGATACTTTCTTAAATTTATCGATACTTATATCAATAGTTACACACATCTTATTTTTTAACTTATTTTAACATCTTATTGTAACTATTATAACTTTCAATGAATGGAAAATTTGATTATGATTTTATTTCGTCAAAATAGAGAAGAGACAAAATTATAAAAGTACAAAGAGATGAATCCAAACCTTTTTGCGCACATGTATTTGATTTGCTCTTTGCGAATTATGTTTTTCTTAAAAACATAAAAGAACGTCATTAAAGTCGAACTTCATTTTCTTCTTTTCTTTTCTAGTTTGTCAGAATATCGAGACAATGTGAGTTTTACGATTCATTCTGTGCGTCTCGCTGTAATGCGTTTCACTTCGTCAACAAATTCAATTTGATGCTTGTCCCGCGCCGCTGAATAATAAACTTGCTTTGCGCATAAAGCCGGTTCTACATTAGTTGCAAGCTGATCGCAAGTTTGTTGTGACAGCCAATATAAAGCGTTGATTTCAAAATGCAAGCTTCAGATTGGCTATCGCAACAAATTTGCGATCAGCTTGCAACTAATGTAGAACCGA